GAGAAGAGGGACCCCCATGACCCCAAAATAAAAACAGTGGAAACAGGGAACCCCTGGGAGTGGTTTTTAGTCTCCTCCTTGATTCTTGGAGGTATTTCTGGCCACCAGACACCCGATGACTTCTAGAGATGCACTTGGCCAACGGGACCTTCAAAGGCAATGCACTCACATCTTGTTTTTCCCCAAATCAGGATTTCCCATTCCCAAACATTGTCTGGATGGAGGAGAAGGCTGCGAGGAAGCGGAAGGTGCTCCGGGACACTGAGGCAGGTGAGGAAGAAGTCACTGCCCCTTCCTCCCTCTGTCCTGCTCCATCTCCCAGCCCAGCACAGCCCCTGGCTGCAGGACAACCCTGCTGCCAACGCTGTCCTGCTGGGGATGGATTGGGGGGATCTCCTTCTCCTTCCCTCTGGCATGGAAGCAAATCCCATCCTCTCCTTGTCCTTCCTCCCGCAGACAAGGAGCTGAGGATGGAGAGCAGGGAGGACAAATCCCCAAAGCAGAACCTCGTGGAAGAGGCCGTTTTGAGCGGCTGCACAGCACAGGAATCCAATGGGGAGGAAAAGCCCCGGAGATCCCGCAGGAGGAGGGGCTCCAAAGCCAGCCCAGAATGCTCTGAGGGGGAAAGACCCACCCTGTGCCAGGAAGGCAGCCAGAGATCTGACCAGAGCTCTGAGGTGGTGGTCCATGAGCAGCGTGATGCTGGCAAGAAGCCCCACCAGTGCTTGGAATGTGGGAAGAGTTTCCTCACGAGGTCCCGCCTGCTCCGCCACCAGATGGTGCACACTGGGGAACGGCCCTATGAGTGCGGGGAATGTGGGAAGGGCTTCAGAGACACCTCTGACCTGATCCGCCACCAGACAGTCCATACTGGGGAACGGCCCTATGAGTGTGGGGAATGTGGACAGGGATTCACCATCAGCTCCCACCTGATCACCCACCAGAGGATTCACACCGGGGAACGGCCCTATGAGTGTGGGGAATGTGGGAAGAACTTCAGGATCAGGTCCAGTTTGATCCACCACCAGAGGATCCACACTGATGAACGGCCCTATAAATGTGGAGAATGTGGGAAAGGTTTCAGGAAGGGCTGCCACCTGAACCGCCACCAGATGATCCACACTGGGATACGACCCTACGTGTGTGGGGAATGTGGGAAGAGCTTCCGTGACAGCTCTGGCCTGATCATCCACCAGACAATGCACACTGGGGAATGCCCCTTCACGTGCTCAGAATGTGGGAAGAGCTTTAGCCAGAATTCCTTCCTGATTGCCCACCAGAGGATCCACACTGGGGAGAGGCCCTACAAGTGTGAGGAATGTGGGAAAAGCTTTACCCAGAGGTCCGGCCTGATTGCCCACCACAGGATCCACACTGGGGAGAAGCACTATGAGTGTCCTGAGTGTGGGGAGAGGTTTCAGAGCAGATACCGTCTCCTCAAGCATCAGCAGATTCACACAGAATAGAGGCCCTTCCGATCTCCACATCTCCCTGGCTCCTACTGGGCACCTGGATGCAAGAGGAGCTCAAGGAGACCTGGCCATGGACAGTGACATGGGGGCCATGGACATGGAAGGAGACATGGGCAACATGGGCATGGGTGGGGACGTGGAGAGCCATGAATGGGGATATGGTGGGGACACTGGCGTGGAAGGGGGCATCAGGGGACACAGACATGGGTGGGGAGATGTGGGGGACATGGACATGGATGGTGACATGGGCTGAAGTCCCAGGGAATGTGGGGATGATGGGTTTGAGTGAGTTGAGGGTTCTTGGGAGGGACGTGGGGTGCCGTACCGTGGAAACTGGAATTCCAGATCATTTGAGTGTGCGCCATGGATCCAAGAGGGACATTCCCAAGGCTCCCAGGGGCTGGTTCTGCCCTGCTTCCCAAGGGAGCTGTGTAGGGGTAGGTGACAAGGCCCAGAAACTGTGTAGTAGGCTACCAGGGCAGACAGCAAAGGTTGCTTTGCTGGACATTTTCCAGCTCATTCCCAGCTCAAAGCAGAGGGAAGACAAAAAGGAAAGTGAGTCCCTAAGAGAATCCCAGTATGATCACGGGGAGAAGGGACCCTGCCCATGGGTTGGAGTCCCAGGAGGGAGAGACACCTCTGCCCCAGGGAAGGTGCAAATGAGACCATAGGGCCACAACCTATGGATTTTATTGAACGTGTGTTTTATTGAAGATAGTATTGACCAGGAAACATGAGGTAGAGAAATAGGAACGAGATTTCAGAGAGAAAAAGAACTAGGAAATACCTCTGAGACAGACTCTGCAGCTGCCCATGTTATAACTACGTATTATATTGTTGGCTTTTTGCAAATATTATGTTGAATGCAATATGTATAATGTCAAATTGCTTTTATTTCTGCTATTAACAAAAATCTTAGACAGGGTAGTAATGGTAGTGATATAGTGAACTGTCTGTTTGGTTGGGATAACATCCAGTGAACATGAAATGAGGACCCTGCTATTGAACTGCCAACTATCAACCCTCACCATGTGAAGGAAGTATGGACCAAGACCCAGACTGGAAGTGATAAAGAGAAGGAGCCAAAACCACAGCCAAGAAACACGGCAGACCCAAGGATGGGCCATGCAAAATAGTTCCTGGAATATTTAGTTTATGAGAAAATATGAATATGCATTAGGGTCTGTGAATATGCAACAGGCTGATGTAAGGAGAAAGGTATTTAAGGGGTGTACTCAAAGGCAAGGGTGTGCTGTTAGCTCAGTGCCAAGATGCACCTGGCCATAATCTTTGCTTTACTGTCTTTGTCTCCTATTGTCCTTTATTAAACCTTTTACATTTTCACAGCAGAGTGAATGTGTTTTTCACATTTGGGGACTCATCTGGGATTAACACCTCACCTCCGAGACCCCAAGGGATGCAGAGCAGGGGGCGTGCCCTGCCCAAATTCAGCGGCCTCACTCGCTTCTTCTGGCAGAGATTGGTTGCAGGTACAACACCCAGTGGGCAAAAGGAGACACATAAAGGAAAACGCTCCCTAAAACTGTGGTAACCCCACGAATTCTTGTGCACAAAGACCCAAAGAAGAGAAGAGGGTTGGTAAGTATTCTTTTGGGGTGATGGATGTGTGTGAGTGAGACAAGGGCTGGTTATCCCAGACCTGCGGGGTGAGTGAGGAGTCTCCCAGGCTGCAGTTCCGTTCTTTTGTGAGAAAAACGGCCAGTAAAGGGATGAAGAGAGACATAAAAGGAGTGAGAGAATCTCCCAGGGTCACTGGGACAGTCCCAGGGAGGGGTTGGACCCCTTGGAGGACAGGAGCTGAGGGTTTTCCTGGCACAATCCTCTGGGAAAGTGGGATAAAAAGTGGAGCGGGCCCCCTAAAAATTCTGCTGGGTTGAGGGATTAATATGTCCAAGAGCATCCAGGGTTGAACAAAATTCTGCCGGATTGAGGATATGCCCAAGAACGTCCAGGGTTGAACAACACAGCTGGATTGAGGAATACCCAAGAGCATCCAGGCTTGACCAATAACATTTTGAGATTTTGAAATACCCGTGGGTGGAAATTAACCAGTGATTTGAGAACAAAGGTACCTTATTTTTGTGTTGTCCTGTTGTGAGTGCAAGTGAGTGAGACATATTAAATAAAAGGGAGTGAGTGTGAATGAATGAAAGTGTATGTGATATGGATTGTGGATTTAAAGTTTAACTTTTCTGGAAGAAGGTGGATTGTATTTTTCTGTGCTGTGAAGAGTGGGAGGTGTTCAGGCTGTCGGGAATGGATTGGATGTCAGGGGAATGGATTTATCACGGGGAAATGAGACGGGAAGACAGAGAAAGGGGCTGGGACTCCCTGGAAATGTCTCTTCCTGTCTCCAGTTTCTCCGCTCATGCCAGGAGCTCCAGTCTCCCTACCCGTATCAGCTTCCCTGCCTGTGTCAGGAGTTTCAGCCCTCCCTGCCCGTACTGACCGTGATCACTCCCGTTCCTGCTGTGACTCTGGAGCCGCCTGCTCCTCCCTCTGTTTCTTCCTTAATTCTGGCTTTCCTGCTGACTTCTGCTCCTAGCTCTGTCTCTTTATTGGTTCCAGCCTCACTGCTGACCCCCGCTCTTGTCTCTGCTCCCTCGGTGATTCCAGCTCCTGCTGTGTCTGTGGGAGGGGTTCAGGAGGGGCAGAGCCCCGCTGTGGCCAGGGTCCAGGAGAGGACTGGGGATGCCTCTTCCTGCTGCAGCAGGAGAGAGCACCCACACTTAGAGGGTGACTTGGAGGTGCTTCAGGGGAGGTGCCCTGTGAAGGAGTGGGAAGATCATGGGCCCTGTTTTCCAGAGGATGAATGCCATCTGGAGACTTTGATAGCTTGGGAAGCAGGTCCCCAAGAGGAAGTATTGGAATTTGTGATTTATTCTGGGGCAGAGAGAATTATGTGGTGGAGATTCCAGGGAGATGTGACATGGTGGAGGTGGTAGGGGCAGAAGGAGAAAGGTTTAAAATCCCTGTCATTGAAGATGCAGTAATTAGAAGGGAGACTGGCATGGGGATAGGAGATGTCTTGTTGGTTCCTGGGGCAGGCTTGTTGGGGAGAGACTTGCAGATGCACCTGGAAATGGGAGTTGTACCAGAAGAAAAAAGGGCTGTGGACTTACTTTTAGAGATAAACTAGTCATGTGTACACATTGTGTGGTCCAAAGTGTGTTAAATCAGAGGAAAAAGGAAAAAATGGGGGGGGGGGGGGGGGAGGGAAAAAAAAAGAAAAAGGTTGAAAAAGAAGAAGGGTGGTTAACAGACTCTAGGATGTCGGAATGTGGAATAATGATAACTTGGTACTGGAGTAGTACAAGAGTTTGAATACAGTTTCTGTAGGAAGGGCAGGTAGGTGCCTTAACACATGGTTGGTTGGAGGTTGTTCAGTGCCGAACTGGGGATCGGGAAGGTTTAGCAGCACAAATCCTCCTTGAAAGGAAAAGAAAATATGTTTGATTGTTTGTCCAGATATCTACAAAAGAAAAAACAATAATAAGAACACTTGGGGATACTAGGTTAAAAACTGTCAAGTTTAGGAGGTATTTGGCCGCTCTCGAGTGAGGGGCAAGGTCTCGGGGGCTGCGGCAGGGGCAGTGGTGACCTCTCTGGGGGTGACCCGGCGCGGTTTGCGTGGGGTTCCACTGGGGTAGGGGGCTGGCTTGGTTGTGCCAGGGTCCCAGAAGGTGTGGGGTTGTCGGACATGCTCACCGGCCCTGTGGCGTGAAATAAATGGGCAGGAGATCT